ACTATTGTTTATTAAAGAATTATTATGGTACAATTTTCATAAATAAATAGTAGTGAAATTTAAGCACAAACATTTTATGTACTGTGATATCATATTAAATTATCACAATCACAACCCCGACATGTAACCTAAATATAATGTAATTAGTGATTGTTAACATGTAATCCAACTCATATTGCTTCCACTTTAATTGGCTTTACACATAATTTATGAAATTTTAAAACTCAATCAGCTTTCACCCACCATCATTACATACCCTTAAAGCACTGCACTCTTGAGGAATCCTGCCTTCTTTAAACAACAAAAAACATAGCAAAAGAACCTAAAAGTCACATCCCCTCTCACCTTTCACCGAAAAGTTGACACCTATGCAACATTTTCTTGACTTCAATTTAGCCCGATTTATGGAAAATCTCGACCATCTCATCCAAAAAGTTAAACTGTTTTATTATTTACTTAAAACGTGTCTACAATAAGTTATGTGTAAGTCAAATATAATGCGAATGCACTAGTTTAATCTCTAGACGTGTGCAGAAGATTGAAGATTTGGATCTTGGTTGAATGCAATGGTTAATGTGATGATTCATACAAAAGCAAGAGTTTATTTGATATGACTTTTAAAAAGTTAATTTTGGTTCTATTTGAATAATTTTCTGAAAATGATTTTTCTATCTAAAAGTGCTTTTAGATGAAATTGGCCTAGGTGCTGGTTTGAAACGATTTTAAAAAGTTGTTTCTGAGACTAAAAAAACTTTTCTTGGACAATTTTCTGAAAGCACTTTGTCCGATTATAATAACTTTTAGAGGAAGTTGTCCATAGACTTCCTTAGAAAACTTATACTAGAAAGTAAAATCCTACCAAATGAACTCCAAGGTGGCTTCAGAAAACTTATCTACAAAAAGAAAAGTTCATGCCGAACTAGCCCTGAAAGAGTTGAGTCTTGATAAAAGTGTGAACGGATAAATTATTGATTATTTTTTCAATAGGACCAAGACTTATATTAAATCATGCGGTCTAAAAGTTAGTGATTTTTTTTAAAATTCAAATTTTTAGTAGATTTTAATAAAATATATAATTGAAAAGTTGATAAA